CCGGCAGGGCTCAGCGGCGGGGGAAGAAGGAGGGGGTTTATTTAGAAGCATTAGCCCGCCCCTCCCCCGGCCCCATTAGCGGCCCTTATTAAACCAACACAGACAAAGAGCAAAGATGCCCTCGTTAATGGAGAGTCTCCGATAATTACTCTGCTCTGCCGCTTCTTTTAGGGCCTGAATGGCCTTTGAATAATGTTTCTCTTGCTGCGGCCGCAGACAATAACCTCGCAGACCGCTTTAAGCGGTGCCAATCCCATTAGCAGAAGAATAGTGGAGCTCTCGGGGCCGGCGGGGGGCGGCTTCGCCCCGCTCCGCCCGAGGAAGGCTCGGCACGGCGGGCGGGAGCGCGGCGCCCCCAAAAGCACCTCCCGGGTGGGGGCTGCCGGAGGGGGCGCTGCGGGGGACGGAGCCCGAGAGACGCTGAGGTCGGGCCGGGGCTTCGCGGAGTCCCTCCGCATCCGAGTGCTCGTGGAGCACGAGAATGGCAGTGCCGGCTGATTTCGGGAGGGTTAAATCCGCGCTGCGCCCCCCGAGCGGGGCTAATTAGTGTGTTCAATAGGCAGCTACCAACCCGAGCTGGAACGGCTCTACCTGAACCGCTCTCTTTGATCTCCTTCCCGCATGATAAGTGAGAACGGTGTATTGCTGGGCTGGCTGTGGTGTTTAATTTAATCATCTGATGATATTTATTTTCACAAACGTGAACTCGAGGAACAATTATCGGAAAGGTTTCATCTTGCACTGAATGTGCCAGTTAGCGGCCTTTCTGCGAGGTAATAGCTTCCACCTAGGGAGTCAGTAATTAAAACGTGTGAAAAAAGGCTCCGCTTCAGAGGCGGTGGTCTAACGCTCAGCCGGTGTGAGCTGCTGGGTCTTGTAAATTGGCATTCGTCCTTGCACGTGGTGTCGGCCCTAAGGGTTCCAGAGAGTTCCCCATTTAAAGAGAGAGATGCTTGGACTGTGGTCAAAAGGAGCCAATCTTGGTAGTGTACAGTCCAACAATTCGGGGTTTGGAGAAGAGTTCTGCTGTATTTGTGGGAGTCATTCAGATTAAAGAAGAGCACTCAGTCCTACAAGCTCTTACAGAAAGACAGCAGCTGAGTTACACTTTCAGAGTTAGCTGAAAGAACTGTGTTCTTCTTTTGGCATTGACTTCAGCTTTTGTTAGAGGTTCTGAAGTCTAATAGATGGTCAAGTAGTGGGAAAATGACCCCATGTGTGTCTTCGTCAGGTGGGCACACGGTTTGTTTTCTGGTGAGGTTTACCACCAGAGGCACTGGACTGCGTGCTGATGGCTGCTGAGTGAAGGCACCAAGCTGGATGTCAACACAACAACCACTGCCAGGTCTTTAGCTTGCAGCAGCTCCTATCATGCAATATCTTTAAAGGGTGAAAAGTGCTGCATCCTAGCAACTTTTGTGGACACAGAGGTGGCGGGTTGATGGTTAGACCTTAGTGGTCTTTTCCAGCCTTAATGATTCTATGAGTCTGTGATCTGAAATGTATGTTCTTCAGTATGTAAAGTTAAAAGAAGGACATTTTCCAAGTTCAGATTTCTTGAGAATGGGAGCCTGTCATACTGCAGCCTTAAAGGATAGGGCTGGCCGTTTGTTCTCCCCAGTGTCACACAGGCTGTAGGATGTCTGTTGCATTAAAAAAAGGAAACAGAGCTCCCTGCCCAGGAGGGCTCTGTTGTAGAAAGCTGTGACAGAGGAGCACGTGAGGAATCAGAGATGTGAAAATGTCATTTAGTAAGGGGATGAAGTCTTCTCCTTCAGGTGAAATGGTTATCATTGTTTGGTCCCTATGACCTGTGTGAGAAAGATGTGCACAGATGTTTGGATTAGGTGATCTCAGAGATCTTTTCCAACCTTAATCATTCTATGATTGTGTTTGGTGGAGTCACCATCCCTGGAATTGTACAAGAGCTTTGGAGATGCGGCACTGAGAGCCATACTTTAGTGGGCAGTATTGATGGTAGGTGGACGTTTGCTCTAGGTGATCTTAGAGGTCTTTTCCAACCTTAATGATTTTATGATTCTACTCTATGATTCTCAAGAAAGCAACGTTTCCCCATTGCTTTCTTATCAGTCCTCTTATGAAAGGTACCAGACCCCCCCTCACAGTGCTGGCTGAGGATCCCCGTTAAGGGTTCGGTTCAGCAGCTTGGTGCAGCACTACCTCGCCAGCCCCGTGCCCACGTGCACAGCCTGCGGCGTCACACTGCTGGGTGCTATCGGGCACGGGGCTGAGGTTACCGGGCTTCACTCAGTTAAGTGTGCCTGCGGGCTGTTTTTGCTCATCCCGTGTTTTTGGGTGGGGTCCCGCGCTGCATTCTAATGTAAAGAAGGGTTTGCGACGGCCTCGCAGCTTGGCTTTCCCCGTGTGCTGGGTTGCACCGGAGATGCCCCTGCTGCCGCAGACGACGCTCGCTGCACCGACCCGGCGCAGAGCTCCTCGTGCCGCCGCCTGCCTCGTGGCCGCCCAGGTGCGCGAGCCTCGGCCGCTCCCCGCCCCCAGGCTCGCCGTCCCTTTGCCGGACGCGGGCGGCCCCGAAGGCGGCGGCAGGAACCTTGGTGCCGCGGCGCCGTTTCCCGCGGCGGCCGGGCCGGGATTGCGGCAGGACGCGGCCGCGCCGAGAGGGGCCGTGCCGTGCCGTGCCGTGTGCGGGCCGTGGCTGCGCGCCGGCGGATCCTCTCCGCTCGGGCTGGCCCGGGCCGCCGGGAGCCCTTTCCTCGCGGCGCGGCGGCCAGGTAAACCTCGCGCGTCCGCTGCGGGTCTGGCGCTCCGCGGGGCCGCCTTCCCCGGGATGTGGGGGCGAGGCCCGCGCTCAGCCGGCCGGCGCCTACGGTACGGACTCGGCAGCGGGCCGTATCCCCAGGATTGCTCCGGCCCTGCGTCTCTCCGCAGTTCTAGGCGAGCGTCTCGGTTTTCATTCCGACCGGTTCCGCGATCTTCTCGTGCGTCACTGAAACCGCAGCTTTTGTGCAACGGGCGCCCGGGCAAAGGCGGCGCCGAGACCGCGGGGGGCACCGGCCGTGTGGGTTCGGGCCGGCCTGGTGTGCCGCAGAAGGGTGGGTTTAGCCTGGCAGACGGAATTGTGGCATGTGCCTCATCTGTTATCTGCTCTGCAGATATGGGCTGACTGCCCTGATCCGTTAGGATTTACAGACGAGTCTAATTTTAGGCGCTGCATCATCCTATTGAGTGACTACAACAAGTTGCTGTATGTAGGAACAAAAGTATCTGCCTCTCGGTGGGACCAACACCTACTGAAAGCGAGTAGTTTTCATCTCATCGCTTACATGGTGTGTTCATCTTGCATGGAAAAATTATGTGCATTAATCTGAGATTGAAGAAATCAGAAATTTAAAACACAAAACATGGCAAGCTGTAGTTGGTGCACCATTCCTGCAGAGCTGTAGCCTACCATGTTGTTAGTGTTGCAGTTTGATATTATGTTTTGAGGTTTCTAATAGGTTTCTGCAAAGATCTTGTAATAAAGTTACAGTTTGAATTAGAGAACAGCAGGTGTCTGTGCTGGAAGAGTCAGCTGATGACAGCAGCTGTGCTGAAGGAGGCTGAGGGGGCTGGTAGCTGGGGCAGGGCTGCTGGGACCAGGGTCACTGTGCTGTTGTTCCGGGAGTCCTTTGTACTCTCTTTCTCCTACGCCTCATCCCTAGAGGTAAATGCGTCAAACCATAGTGGTCCCTGCTATCTGAAAGATAAGGAAGAGGGCTTAGATTGAGGTTAGAAATGAAGTTGAAATGTAGTTCCATCAGCATCGACATTCAGCCACCAGTAGTTGAGGGAAGACCTGTGTCTGCCTTGCAGTGTCCCAGCAGAGCTCCCTGGGTACCACAGCAAGGAGTTGATTGTGTTTGCAGATCGGGGCTGCTCAGAAGTCTTGGAATTCAAGTCTGTATTTTCTTTTGGCCTTGTTATAAGCTTAGAGAAGAAATGTCTCCCATGTTCTTTGTGGAGATGCCATGTTTCTGGCCCTCGTTGCCTGCAGGCAGTAGCAGCTGTTACTGCCAGGTGTGGAGCATGCTGGCCTGTGCTGGCTCAGCTGGGGTATGCTCGTTACTCCCTGCTTGGTGCACCTCGGATAAACTGTTCTGCAGAGCTAACTGAAAGTTAATTGTGTAGGCTGGCATAGTTGGCAAAGGATTCACTTACTGCATTACTATTTATACCAGCTAGTGTGCCTCATCTAAAAAAAGTCCTAAAGCTTCTTATTGTCCCCTTGTCCTACTTATAAGGAGATAAATATCTTTATCTGGCAGCCCCCCTTGTATGTGTCCTTCATTACTTAAACATGGCCACCTCCAGGCAGCAAGGGAGGCACGCCGGGCAGAACATTGCTGCACACAGCAGCTGACAGCTCAGCAGCCTGATTTCCAGCAGCCTCTGGAAATGAGTACTACAAAACAACATCCTTAGGAGTGACATATGCCTTTCATTTCTGTTCAGAGCTCATGGGGACAAAATGAAAATGCCTTCATTTCTGATCTGTGTTAAATACATAAAAGACAAGCAGGGTCTTCAGTGTAGTTCTTCTAGAACATATGGACTGGAGAGATACTCACAGTTTCAGTTGTGCTAACCAGAAAAGTGTACTAAAAATGTTTCCTGTCCTTAGTCATGTACTAGTTGTCCTGTTTCCTCTCAGCACACAAGCTGGTACATCACAATGGAATGTCTGATCAGCCGTGTGTCTTGCTGCGCAGGTGGAGATTTGCACAGTGCTTGCATACGCTGCACTTTGTTCTGGTGTGCACTCCTCAGCTTAGATTTATTTCATTTTGATTACTTTTTTCAAAGTACAGTTAAAATGAAAGGTGTATTACAAGCACTGTTTATTATTCGTTAATGTGTGCTCATTGTTGGATGAGGTATTTATAGCTGTGCTGTGTTAGTTTGCCACACAGACGGAGGATGCATAGAAAAGTTTCTTTGGTAAAGCAATGCGGCAGATCTGTGACTGAGGAAGTCTGTGCTTCTGCAGAGTGATACCTGTGTACCCTCGCATAAATGTCTGCGTCCCCTCACAGAATGCAACGTTCTGCTTTTCACTCTGTTTTCTCACCTTTATCTCTTTTTCCATTTTTCTTTTTCTTCCTTTAGTGAGGAAAATCTCATTGCTGCCCTTCAGGGAGGCCATAGCAAGCAGGTGATTTTGCACCACAGAAATGGCTGTGCTTACATTCAATTATCTTCTTGGGTGCCTGGCCCTACAAGCAAGCATTCCTCACCAGAAAGCATCTTTCTCCAGTTTTTGTAAGCTTCTTCTGAGCATCAATGGCTTGTGCCTGATTATGAATCAAGAAGTTCTTCCATATGACACCGTAAAGTAGAATTGTCTGAACATTTTAAGTAGTTTATCACTCAGTTGGATACTGGGGGAAAAGACTTTTCAAAAGGTGCCTTAGAAATGTCATTTAAAGTCAATTCTTCAGGCCATGTAAGACCGTTGAATATCATATGGCAATCTCTTTCAAACTCCAGTTGCCTGTTCCATATGAAAAAGTAATGTAGTTTTGTCTTTTTTTTATTTTTTGTGAGGCATTTAGTTCAGAGATTTAAATGAATCTAGTAAGTTTGTGTGCTACATTACTTGGGATAACACTTATCTTGTGCTGGGAGAATGAGAAAGTTGGTGGTCAGAACATTGAGAGTGTTTGCTGAGTAGGCCTTGCTATACTGAAAACAAAATATCATCTGCTGTCTAGTTATAGCAGGGAGATGCTGGAAGAATGGCATTATGCAGAACCTTACATTTTGCTGCCTCAATTTTTCAGCTTCATTTTGCCAGCAGAGTATGAAAATGGTGGTAAAGACTTCAGCAGCTACCTGTATGTCATCATCCTCTCTTCTATCAACTCAAGTGTGCCACCTGACAAATACAACACAACTTCTTAATTTAAAGGTAGCTCCCTCATGTTTTTATTAGGGATTCTGCACAGCATACTGGTTTTCAAGGACAGTCACTGACCTAAGTGCATCCCATTTAGATTCTGTGCAGTACTTGGCTGATGGGACCCTCAGAGCTAAAGCTTGTAGAGCAGAGCCTGTAGGCTGTGATTTTTCAAGGTACCACTCAAAGAGAGTTTACAGGCTGGGGTTGCTCAGTCTGACTGACAGAAAAACTCATTGGATATCAGCTGCGCCAGCCCCAGTGGTTCTGCTCAAGGTGGTTTTATGTCCATATTTTCTTCAGATAACCTCTTAATTACACTGAGCTTGTTAGAGACATGAGTTGGGCTTGTTAGTGGTCTAAATCTGCAGCACGCAAGCGATAAAGATTACAGTGGCTGCATGAATCTGCTTTGCTACCAAAGTGTTACCAAATGTTCCAAAATAATGTTCTGTTCTGTTTTCTTGCATGCAGAAGGGTTTCAGCCCACAGTTGCTATGCAGTGTGTGGTAAGTGCAGCCTGTTTCCTCAGCAGGTTCCAAGGTGCAGAGAAGGGATGGGGTGAGCTTTCCAGGAACTGAGGCACAACTACTCTCTTTGCAGACAGATAACTGTGAAACTCCTCTTGTGGTCTTGAGAGACAATTCTCAGAAATACCAAATTCTCTGCCAGAGAATTTGACTCTAAGAGTCATTAGGAATCAGTGAAACCATGTTACTTATGTATTTCTATCTTTTGTCTGGCTGGGCACTCCTCTTGTTTATGTGTTTCCTCCTGAAAATTTTGCTTGTGCATGTCATTGATGGTTCCTTTCTAATTCTCTCTCCAAATACAAGAAAAAAAGGAGAAGACCCTTACTTATCTATTGTGTATAACTGAAACTCATCACTTTATGTATATGCCTCTATCACTTGCTCTCTGAAGAGGTCCTGTGAGCAGCAAAATCAACCTGGCTGCTCTCTTACTAAATCGTGTCATCGTGTCTCCTTTCTTTTCTACTTCCTGATCTTTTCACATCTATCTAATGCTAACATGCTTGAAGAGACTCGAGTGGTGGCACTTCTGAAAAGGAAGATGGGCTGGGTTTTGCTTGCCTCCCCTTTAGCAGAAAGGCTGAATTTTCCTGTTTTCTACCCAGTATTTAACAAATGCAAGAACTGTGTCTTTAAAGGCACTACTGCCATATCTAGTTGAATTTGCCTGCGTAATTCAAAAGAAAGGGAAGGAGAACAACTGAAAGATAGGCAGGATGGTGGCACAAACCCTTTTTCCTTAGGCAACCAAACAGAAAGATGTCTGATATATATCTTGTGGGGATTACAGAGCTAAACAGATCTTTGTAGTCTTGTTTCTCTCCTGCTCGAGCTGGAATGAGTAGTCCTGGTTATGATGCTTGAGCTGGGGGATACATACTGGGTACTGTCATGGAAGTTTGTCACTTGTAGGTTTACTTTCTGCTCTTGCCTCTTCCCTGCTAGTAATTGCAGTGTGCACCCAGATATTCTTCTGGAAGATGGGATCCAGAAAAGCACATCAGGAATTGAGAATATCTGTTCCAGCGTATATTCCCTGGCATTTGTCATGCATGGCTTTCTTCTGTGGCCACATTGCTCTGTCAGCTTGGTTGGCCCTTGTGGCTTCTTGAGGCCCTGTGTATACCTAACTAAAAGGAAACTCTATATCTCGTGTGGCATGACCTGCAGTCACTGCTGCTTGCCTCTTCTATGAGTAATGTGGACGTTATGCTCTCGTGATAGTAAAGACTTAACTCATGTTGTGATTATTCATTATCTGACTGTTGCACATCTGTGGACAGAAGCTGTATCCACAGTAGCTATTTTTCAGCTGCTACAAACCGATGCTGAGCAGTTTTTGCTAAGAACCATGCACTGCCTTCACCAATTTTGGTTAAGATGGCTTTCTTACAGCTGCCTGTAGCTTTGGTAGTTTTTAGTAGTCTGGCTGATGCATCCCTCTTTGTTGTGTTCACCATCCTAGGCTGAATGTCCTTGGAAAATTTCAGATGTTTCTGAGAAGCAATACATGAGGCAATACATGTGATAGTAATTTTAAAGGAGTTCATCCTAATGTTTTGTTTTCCTTTTCTGCTCTTATGTGAAAGAAGCAATTTCCACTGTTTTCTCTCCTGGAGGAGATTCAGATGGATCTGTTTACTGGCATATCAGAGCTTGCATTCATTTGTCACGAAATCCCTTTAAAAGTCTGAAAGAAATCATTGCTGAATGTCACTGTCAGAAGATGCCAGCTTGTGCTTATGGAGATTCATTGAATCCCAGTGCTGAGGGAGCCACTGCACGCATGGCACAACTCTTTCTCTGACCTGAGGAGGCTCTAATGTAGTAGGATGTGATCTGCCTGTCACTGCCACTGAGATCACATTGCCTGTACCTACTGAGCAGGACTGATCAACAAAGGTAGGGGATATGAGTGTTGCCCTTTGCATGCCATATGATGCAGGGCTTGCCACCTTCTCATGATCCTGTGATTCAGCATCTCCCCGAAAATGAGGTCAGCTGTAGTTCTACAGCACTCTGCGTGGCTGCATGACTGGAAATTCCAGTCTCTAGGATCCAGAGGAACATGCAGCTACGTGAGGCAAAGCTTCCAGCAGTTAAGAACAAACCTGTTAATGTAAGTGTCTTTTTTTTTCCTGTCCCTTTTCACCTTTCTTGATGATTTAAAATAAAGAACTGCATGTGCTATCACTGAAATTCTTCCTCTGCAGTGTTTCAGTGGCATGTCACAAACCCTTGTAGAGTGATTGCTGCTCTGGTGCTTATGTGAGAGCCGGGCTGTGTTCTCTGCCATTTCAGGAGGTAGTGCCTTTGTGTGGTCAGCCTGCAGCTCTCTTGGCATGGGGTTGTGCTGGTGCTGCTTTTGTTCAAATGAAAGCCTTTTGTGGTTTTGCAATTTCCAAATGCCATTCTTACTTTAAAGATATAGCATGGGAGGACGTGGAATAAGTGGATGGGTTGAAACACACTGTGTTGCTCAGCCTGCTGGAGCTCTGAGGCACCACGAGCAGAGTGTTGCTCAGGGGTAAATGGCAAGAATGACCTTGAGAGTGAACTTTGCTTCTTTAAGGTGACGTGGATATGGTTGGAGTGGCTTCATTTCCCACTGCCATCAACAAGTACTATTGCAAGCTTTGCAAAGAGTGTTCCCATACTGTTCTGATTTGAAACCACTCTGTATGTGTTTTGTTCAGCACTCCATTTTGATTCTGGCTCTTCCATTACTGTCTCATTCTTCAGTTTGTCTTAGTCCTAGTTTGCTGTGAGAAAAGTGAAGAGAATCCTTGCAAAAAGGTGGGGGAGAAAGGTCTCAGTGTAAAGCCCTGAAGTTTCCAGAGTTATGTATGTGGTTATTTATTTGTTTGTTTTTTATTATTTATTTGTTTGTTTATTTTAATTGGAATGTGCTTAGAGAGATGATGGTCTGAAATGCTGATCTGTGACACAGGAGGCTGAGCTGCTGCTTTCCAGCACAGGACCGTTGTGGCCAAAGCAGAGGGAGGGAGGAGGCCAGCGAGTGCCTGTGGAGGTTTTGTGCTCCAGGACTCTGTGCCCTTCTTTGGTGGGTTCTGGTCTCCTTCCTTCCTGTGGCTTAAGGAAGGAGACTCTGTTTAAATGGCTTTGCGAACTTAAGTTAGGGGAAGGCAAGTTGACTGTTCTTGATTTAAAAACAAAAAACACAAACAAAAAAACACCAGGAAACAACAAAACCCAAAAAAACTTTAAATATAAGCATGATGTGTGTTTGATGCTGTTTAATAGATGTTTTTTCCTGCTAAGTGTAAATCTTCGTGGGTCTTGGTGGCACTTAGCAGTATTCACAAGCTAATGAGCTGCTAATTATCAGCCCTGTCCAGGCTAATTAGTTCTGCTAAGAGTGTATTAATCTAGACAGAGCTCTGAGCTAATGCAGCTTTGTTGCTTTTAGGCCTCAAACTGATGTGGCCAAAACCGATCTCTTTGACTTTTGGCCATCCTGCGTGTGCCTGTTCCAAGTGCTATGAGAGCTGTTTTACTCCTGGCACCCAGTCTCTAGGTCCCAAGAACATGCATGCTTGATTTTTCCCTATTTGAACCTAGCTTCCCTGCGTGTCCCTCAAACAGGGCAGCACCGTGGATGGATCTTCAAGAAGTAGAGGTTAGAAGGCAGCAGGCATGGTGAGACAGAGCTTGGCAATGAGACACCCCCTTATTGCACCCCAGGGAGTGTAATAACCCTCCCTTCCGTCCTGAAGTGAGCTCAATACAGCTCTTCAGTAGTTCCAACCTTAAAGCTGGAAGCTATTAAATTCTCTATTAAGACTTTCCAAACCAGCTGCTGGGAGATAAAGATCTGCAGCTTTATGATAGTATGGGTTATGGTATATTTTGTTTTGCTCATAGGATGTGTTACCTTTCTGGGATTTAGGTTGCCACACTATTTCCCACAGGTTCCCAGCAATACTCTAGAGAGAAATGTGCAGCAGTTGCTTTGCAGCAGCCTATTAGCACTGATTTATTAAATATCACAGTTCTGTTTATGCAGACAAGCAGCAAAGTAGTTGTTGCAAACTAGTGTCAGTGTCCTAAGACAAAGAATGCAAGTAATCCAGGAGAAAAAAAGTAATTGAGATCAGTTGGCTTGCTTTGCAGTCTGGTGGGAAACTGTACTAAGTTCCATACATGGCATATTAGAGGGGTGCTACTGACATTTGGTTAGTAAGTGGTATCCCTTCATCTGGTGGCCCACCCTGCTCTCTGACCAAGAAGAGAGAACATACTGTGACTGTGGAAAGAATGATGCAGATAAACATATTTATCTGGGAAAAAGCCCATGCTCACATGATGCTTTGCTTTGCTTTGCAGGTGAGCTGTTATCACTATGAGCGTGCTTTCTAGAGTGACTACAGCCAACTTTGTCATGAATGTTCGGTCTCACATCTGAAGAAAGGGATTGGTTGAGTTCCTCTCTGCCAGTACGAATTGTGGTTGATGTGTGGACTTGTCCTACCATCTCTGAGTTAGTGGTGTGCAAAGGGCAGATGTGAAGCACCCATTTCCTTTGGGCCCACTGGCAGCACAGGACATGGAAGCTCTTGAAGTTGATGATATTAGCCCTGCCTTGGAAGTGACTGAAGACTTTTTCAATAGTTTTGATACTAAGCTTGAGAAGATTGTGCAGCCCTCTGGGGTATTTGGTGTCCAGGAGGTGCCTGAGCTGGTTGGGCATGAGGTGTTTCATCAGATAACAGAGAGCAGGAATCTAAGGAACGTCGCCTCCTTAGCCAAAAGTAGCCTCATTTGGGATCACTGCAAAAATGGCCTCTTGGAAACGAAAGCCCAGACAGCACTCTCTGCCAAAGATCAGCATGTGGTGCGGAGGGGAACAGCTGCTGACAACCTTGCTTGGGCAGGGGAAGGAGAGACTGCTGCTTTTAACATCTTCAACATCTGCCAGCGGAGGAGGGACAGGCCTCGGTCAGTGAATGACATCCTGGTGCGGAATGAAGAAGCCTCCACGTTCAAGCCAGGACACAACCGCTCACGCTCTGATATCAGCCATGTAAACTGGGGAGTCGTCTTCACTGGCACCTCTCTGCAGCAGCCAGCTCTGCCAGGTCAGGACAATAACTGCGCTCTGCTCTCCTACCTGGCACTGACCAAGGGACAAGACATCCAAGGAAACACAGGTTTGTATGGATATGTTATTGTTTCTGTAGAAGTGGAGGCTTTTCTGTTTGTTTTTAATATTTACCTCCAAAAGAAGCTAGTTGTTTCAAAACAAACAACAACAACAAAAAAACCCTATGAGCTAACTCCTAGGATGATGTAAAATAGCATGGCTTGTCTTTGATACAGCTCTGTCTGTTTGTCTGGTGAAGAGGTCAGTGTTTAAAACAGTCTTCACTTCTGTTTGAAAAACTAAGCTTGTTTCACTTTTTGCTCCTATTTCATTCATTTTTCTGAGGAAAAGTCATTTCCTAAACTAAACAAAAAAACAACTTTACATGCTAAAGCTATTGGGAGAATGGCAAACTAAGTCAGCTTTTATGAAGTAATGAAAGAGCAGCCATTAAAAAGAGGGTAGGTATATGAAGTTTTGCTGTGAAGCCTGAGATCTCTGTTCTGTTTCTTTAAGAAATGCTGGCTATTCAGTCTGTAAACAATTAACAAAAACTCAAGCATGCTGTTTGTGCCTGTCAATAATAAGGCTTCTCTGCCAGCACTGTGTGGCGTACAGGAGGTCCTGTTATCAGATTGAGGCAGGCATCCCCAGTGAGCTGTCTCAGGTGATATTTCAGCAGGTGATAGTTTTTCCTTTTCCCTTCTCAAGCAGCACATGGAAAAGGTTGTGCTCAGGGCTTCAGAAGCACTCAACCACTGTCTCCATCTCTATGATTTATTTTGTGAATGTCAGAAGTGGACTGAGCTCAAAGCTGTATTCAAAATACCTTTTGTAGAGGAGTCTCAGTAGGGTTGATTCCTGGGATCTTAGAAGTGAAGAAGGAAGGGTGGGAAATGGGCTGATAAGAGTGGCTGAAGAACTTTTGCCAGGACCCTGCTGCAGCCCAGCAGCAGTCAGTACCTCTAAGATGCTCAGCTCATGCTTTCCTACTGCTTTTTGTGAAGGCATGAGGCATCTGTCAGTGCTTGCTGTGTGCTCTCCCACAGCCCTTCTGCATGGGATGTCTGTCTCAGAGTGATGGTACCTCCCTTGGGGAATGAGACCTGTGGTCTGAAAATGAACTTCTAACCTGTTTCCCTGGCATATTCTGTTCTGTTGCTTTGCAGGGTTCAGATGGTAGCTGTGGTATTTCTTCCCTTTGTATTTATTGGAGAGCCTACCTTAGAGTTTGCTTCTACTTTGAGCTGAGCTTAAAACAGAAAAGCAAAACCAAGAAAGTCAGTGTTGCAGGAATGTGTACCTGGGACTGGTAACTGTACTCCACAACAGACAAAAAATGTATATGCAGGTTGGCTGAAAGCTGCTGGGGTGGTGGAAGAAGTCATGGAGGCATCCTTCTCTGGGTCTTTGTAGATTAAACCAATGCATATGAGGTACGGAGTGCAGGTTGCAGCTGCTCCTATTAGTCCCCGTGGCAATGAAGGACTTCCCTCTGGAGCCTGCAGAGGTCTCCCCGTCCTCCGACGCTGGCCAAGTTGCAGCACAGATTAGCTCTTCACAATCACAATTATATTTTTTCATCTCATCTTCATATTATATTTATTACTCTGAGCTTATCTGTTCCTGCTGCTTACTTTCTCATAATACAAATAAAATGAAACTGGATCCACTCCATGTTCTGTGAAGGAAAAAGCTCTGAAAGAAGCTGTGCCTTCTGGGGTTGTATCTTCTCAGGCCTGCTGGCAACGCAGCTAGTGTACCAGAAATGAGCACTGCAGAGCAGTGTTAAACAGTAAGTGGAGCTAGAAAAGAAGGAAGTTGCAAGCAGATTCAAGACAGACTTTTGTATTTCTGGGCATGTGTCCTGGCAAACAGAAAGAGAATACTGCTTCTGTAGCATCTCAAGGAAGATCGCTTAGATCATTAAAACACAGTGCATGGGTAGTCATCTTTGACAGTCATGTGGATGTTTTCATTCAAACACAACCAGTCCTAGGAGTGTGAGTGCTATAATGTTTTTCCCTGGTAGCTGCTTATTTTGCCTGCCATGCCTGTGAGCATGGGGCACTGAAGAGCTTTCACTGAGTGGAGGAGCATCTGTGTGCTGAAAGTGTCCCAGCTGCAGAGAACTGATGGCCTGGTGCCCCTTGCCAGCAGGCTGTGCAGGTCGTTACTCAAACGGCCCCCCTGGTTTTGGCACTACTGTGTCAGGATGCTGCACCTATGGTTTGGTTGCAGTGCTGCAACATGGCAAAACAGTCATGTTGAAGAAAATGGTTGCCTTAAAATGGCTAACAAGACCAAAGTCCACTGATTTTTCACCTGCCTCTCTCTCATTCTGCCTCTCTGATTTACATTGTTTCCCTTTCTTTGCATCTTTTTACCTGTCTGGGAACCTAGCCACCATTTATAACATGGCAAAGGTCTGGTCATATCTTCAGGAGTACTACAGAGAATATTTCAAAAGAGGTTTGGTTCCCAACTTCATGCAACTCTTGGATATCTGACATGTAGTGGAAATGCTAAGTCACTGCTTGAAACAGTGTTTGAGCATATGGTAGGAAGGAAGGGCCAACCCAGGGGAGCTCAGGTGCATGCAATGCAATGCCATGTACCTGAGTGACTGGAAGGGGTCAAGCCAGCATCCGTCCCTTCCCAGACCTCATTTAAGGGTTTTTAGTAGAGGTGAGGGTATCTTGCTGGTGATCCCTGTGTACCTGATGCCTTCAGAAGGTAAGCAGCTTGTTTCCTTTTTTTTGGTGCCCCCAGCTGTTGTATTTGAGCAAACCCTCACTTGCTGCAGCCTAAGACCTTGCTGCTCTGCTGTCATTGCTGCGCTTTCCATCGTGTTACATTGGCAAACTTCTCTATATTTTTGAGGAGGAAAAATATATCTAAATTTCTGTTCATGAGCAGCACAATAGTGGTTCGCAGACTGAGGATTGCTACTGATCTTTGAGTTTTACAAAACTGCTTTATCCTACTTCAGGCATCACGTTGACTTGAGGGATTTCATTTTTCTACCACTACACTGACCTTATGTGGCATAAAGCAGTCTCAATTCCATCTTAATCAAACGCTGCCATGCATGTAGTACTCAGTAGCTGGGTAAGGAGCAGATTGAAGGGATACTGCTGAAGCGCATGTGAATTGGTGAGGGAAGTTGTGAGGGTTTTCTTCTTTGCCTAAATTGATTGCTTGTGAAAGAGGGACATAAGCACATCATTGTGGTGTTAATGTCATTCGCAGAAGCGAGTAGAGCTAGCAGAGCAAGCAGGCTCCTGGGCCTACAAATTTTCAGCAACACTTGCAATCTGAGTTCAGTTGAGAGTAGGTTAATCCTTAAGCAAAGAAGTTATTTATGATTTATATCTCGCTGATATTTGACATGGCTGTCAAGTGTGATACAGCTTGGTGGTGATAGTAGGGAGTCTGTACCAGAAATCAGCAAGTGTCATCTGCTGGGGAAAGATACTGTTTAGGTTATGTCTGTAAACATTTTTATGCAAGTGCATAAAAATTACAGCCAGAGGCTGCTGAAATCACGGTCATAAGACCTGCAGGGTCTGGCTGCTTTGAGTTGCAAAATCATGTCATAACTGAGAGCTCCTTGGAGCCTTCGACTATCCTCTTTGACTTTGGGAATTTGACACTCAAATTGTTCTTTGATCAGAAGGGGAATTTCTTCCTGAAATGTAATTCTTAACTTTTTAATGCAAATTGACAGGAAAATGGGAGTCATTGAAATTAAAACAAAATCCCAGTCCTAATTCATCTCTCTTCAGCTTTGTTAGAAAATTACTTAATCTGCTTGAAAAATAGAGGAATCTTTGTTGGCCAGATATCCTTGCCTTCAGCAGCAGCAGTGGCTGGCATTATCTCTGTGCCAACGTTGCTAGCTCTTGCAGCATTTAGTAGTACGTATTGCTGCACTGAGTTGGTTCCTGGCAGTGGGTCACAGAGCAGGAGATGGCAGAGCCATCAGTTGCCACTGTTGTCCTGCTCGGGATGGAGCCTCAAAGACAGCTGGACAGAAAACAGAGAGGTTGTGCTAAGGGAGCTGCTGCAGAGTGGGAGTGGCCAGAGATCTTGAGCGATGTGAAATGCTGAGGGTATGATGTGAAGACCTCACACTGGCACACTGCTGATGGCCAGGTGAAGCCCAGCTCCTTCTGGTCTACTAGGGAGATTTGTAAAGTCTAATTACTATTTGTGGTTTTGCAAAAACACTCCATTAGCACTGTCTTTTGTCAGCAGTAAGTAGAGGTTGCACAGTTAGAGCGGACCAATTGCCACAAGGATGGTAGAGCGTTATAGCTGTGTAGTATTGTGTAGAACACAGTAGTGCAGCCATCCAAAAGGCAGATGTGTGGAAACAACACTTAGCACCTTCCTCTGTGAAGAGCAGGAAGCCTCAGACTAGTTGGAAATAATCCCAGAAAGCATTCAGCCAGTTGGAGCATCCAGTGCCCTCGGAAGGCCAGTCTGTTTTCAGCATTAAAAGGTAGGCAAGGGAAAGCTGTGCTTGCAGAGATTTGGAGCCTGTCAAGATTTGAGGTATCAAAATTGTTTAAAATCCAGTATGAGACGGATGCCCTCCACTGGGCTGGAGTCCTCCACTGGTGCTAAGGGCTGTCTGCATTTAGCAAGGGACAGCCCCTTTTCCCAAGAGGTTACAGCTTAAACAAACCATGCAGTAAAGGCAGCAAGACTGAGCAGAGACACAGAGGGATGGGATGAGGTGTTTTGCCTAAGATCAGACGGAAGTGTAATCTGGATCATCTCATCTGCTAGATCAGACTTCCCCTCTAACTGCTCTGTCTGATTTGGGGAGTGCTGCACTTGCCCCCCTATGGCTCAGTCCTGGTTTCTCATTGGGCACCCTCTGAGCTGAAGGGGCTACAGGGGCTGACAGGGCAGCAGCAGTGCCCTGTCTGCTCCGCTGCCTGTGGGGCCTTGGGAGGGCAGGTGCACTGGAGGCTATGGGAGGGGGGTCACGTAAAGAAACTGACAACGCAGGAGGATTACAGTAAAAGGCACCAGCGAGTTAGGTTGGGAGGGTTATGTCCTATGGAGTTACAGCACTCCATAAATCTTAATAGTTTTTCATCTCCTGGGGGTAGTGCTGATTGCTTCCAGTGATGTTGTTGTGATGACTATCATAACTGAATTTACACATTTGTTGCTATTACAATATGTAAGACTTTTCCCTTAGAGGTGTTAGTGGTCACTAGCAATGTGAACCAATGACTCTGTTTTCATAGCTTTGTCAGTCATTTTATACTCTTTCTTCCTTCTTTTTGAAGTAGAATTGAGTGAATTTATACAAGGATCAGCAAATGCATTTTCGTTTGATTTTTCTCACTTCTTCTACCTGCAAAAGAAGCACCTACAGAGCCAGATGGAAAATGGATGGGAAGAAGAGATGGTGGTTTTAAGTGGGAGGGCAGTGAGCATCACAGATCTTAGTCATGCCAGCTGAGGGACAGTTAGTTCCTAATCCTGCAAGCCCCAAGCAAGTCACTAGTTCTGCTGACTTAAGGAAGAACTCGTGTCTAATTTGTTCTGGCAGCAGCAGCATGAGGGTGTTCTGTCGGAGGGCTTCCCAAGAGCCTTAAGAACAGTGTGATCAAAAACATACAGCATACAGGAAAGTGTACAGAAAACACTGTGCAAAGTGGAGGTAAACAAAAAGCACAAACAAATGAGTTGGCCAACTTGACTTACAGAGTTAGTGGCAGAGCTGGGAGTAGGACCCAGCATTTTCTAGCTCATATCTCTGGTTGAGATTGCCATGCCAAAACTGTACTTAAATTGGGAAATGGTTAGAGAAAAACTGTTTTTGTGTTTAAGGTGACTTCCACAGGGTTCTGCAGCTATACTCTCTGACCACATGTCTGGCAGTGCTGTCTCTCACAACTCGGGAGTCTGTGGGACAGCAATCCATCGTGATCTGAGAGAGCGTTTCAGGTCAGAAAGGCACCTGCTGAATTCTACACAAATTTGAGGTGAGGACTACTGACAAAAGCTCTGTGATTTGTTCATGTCTCTGAGAACCAGAAAATCCAGACAGGAATACTGCCTCAAAAGGCAAGTCATTCAGAAATGAAACATTTCCAAGTTACTTGGTATTGCTGAAATCAGAAATGCTTCTGTGGTGCAGTGCAGGGCATGTTTTTCTGGGACACAAGAATGTCAGTTGATGCCATGTTCCTCAACTCCTGGATATGCTGAGACAACCTTTGCACTCCCTCTGCTATCACCAAGCATGGAAAGTGGTAGGTGTGTGCTGAGTGCAGGGTGCCTAGCTCTCTCCCCAGAGGAGAGGAGAGATGCTGAAGAGCATATTGTCCTGTCCTTAGTTGCTGAGTTTCTCTGCTTCCTTCTGCCTCCTTCCTCCTCATCACTTGAAACTATAACTCCAAATGGTCCAGGCACAGGCCATTTACTGTTACTACTTCCACTTTTTTTTAATACTTCCTCAGTTTATTCTCCTTGTTTCTGTAAAGAGGAAGAGCTGCAGTGGATTAGTTTCTGTTTTGAAGGCAGATGGAGAGGTGGGAGCATTTTCTCTCTGAGTGGAAAGGCATTGTCTGGCACACTGCATGTGGAGGAGATCTGGGAGCAGAGGGCTGTAAGGGATGTGTGTGTGGATTCAGCACATCTCCGTCAGCGTCTACTGCCCTGGCCTAAACAATATGATACATTTGAATGTTAATCAAGTTGGCTGCTGGTTTTGTCTCATTTAGAGTGGAGCTGAGCTTGAAGGAGGGAGTGGGGTGAAGAAGGGAGGAGGGGGTGCTTCTGTGAATGGCAGAGAGGGAGAGATAGCTTTTCTGTAACTCAACAAAAGATGAGCAAACGTGTGCAGATGAAGGAGGGGTGGCTGGGGGAAGGTTATGAGTTGTCTTATTATGGAGAAGCTTGAACTGTCATCTGTACTTGATGGAAGCGAGAGAGATTGCAGTTGGAGCTGCAGAAGTGCTGCCTCCCTGATTGGATTAATAGAAAGGGAAGATGAGTCTAGAATGGATGCCCATTATCTGCACTACAAAGGGATTAGTGTGGGTTTCAGATAAATTAATGGCTTTTGAGTTAGCGCAGAAATACTAATGAATGTCAGGGCCAGAGATGGATGGTGAACAAAATTGGTTCTCTGTTAGTGTGTGTATGCACATGTGTGTATCCATTTGGGATTATGAGAGCGTGCTTTTTCTCTACCATTGTAAGTTTTAGATTGGGCTTTCAGTTTTCACATTTAGTTGAGATATTTTTGGGTAGCCTATTTGTCTGCAATGTAAGTTTTATTTATTTATTTTCAGCTTTTTATACCTACTGCCAAAACAATGATTTTTCAATTGCTATGATTTTATATATGTATATATATGCAGAAAGTCTTTCCAGATACGTTGAAGAGTGCTTTTTTGAGCATGGTGTTAAGGGCAGTCTCCGTTCTCTATATATGGGCTACATGGGAAAGCTGAGGCCAGGTTGGCAAAGCAAAACTTAAGCATCCATTTTGTTTGTGTGGATGGGAGGTAGCATACACACATTAAGTATTCCAAAACAATTAATTCTCATGGATATTGATTAAGACTGAAACTTGTCTACTTAATCCTGTAAATGCTTTTCCACGGGCTTCATTGAGAGCAGTCCAGCCAGCCCTCCTAGGAAGCCTGGTGGGGATGAGGGACTGTACACACAGCCACATCCTGAGCTCTTTGCTTCCAAGCTCTGTCAAACCCAGGTACTTTGCTCTGTGTTGAAGGCATCCTAGGCATGGTCAGAGGAGCTCATGTTTTACACTCTTAGTAGCTGGTTCAGTGGTGATGCTGGAAATGTTTCCCGCCTCCAGCTGCCTACCCCATCCCTCTGAAAGGCTCTGGGGCCAAGGGCCAAGTCCCATCACAGGAAGGGTAGAGTCCAACAGGGCAACGCTTCGCTCCTCACGGCTGCGTTGTGCCGTGCCAGATGTTAAACTCGCCATTAGGGCGTGGCAGCGAACTGCACTGGGACAAAGATGGGCACGTCCATCCCAGGAGGAAGGAGTGCTCGCACCTGCTGGCAGCGCCTGCGGTGGGGCACGGCTCAGCTGGCGCAGGTGCGGGCTGCCCCCTGCTGGGCGCGGCCGGTTCCAACGGCTCTAAAGGTCTCGCAGCTGTGCAGCTCCACGAGGCGGGCGGCGCCTGCGGGGCTGCTGAGGGAACGGCGGGGGGACTGGAGATCCTTTGCTGGGCAAGTTTGTCCCCTGGGCATGAGACCATTAAGATGGGCAGCAAGGCGCTGTTTTGTCGTCGTCGTCTTTTTTTTGTTTTTTCTGTCCAAACGTATTTCAGTTTGCTGTAAATTAAACTAGTTTTCACTAAGTAGTAGCTGCTTGTGATGGTATTTGGCAAGCAATCTCCTTGCCTTTACTTCTCACGAGCTTTTTCCTTTTTTTCATTCCTCTGTCTTCTTCAGAGAGGAAGTGAGAGTGCACTTGAGTTCAACCCAGGTCTATCATATGACCTGATGGGCCAAATATCAAATTTGGTGGTATATTCACTGTGAAGTATACGTAGATGACATCATCTGTGCTTAGCATCTTTGTGTTGCCATTGCCACTTGTATGTTCACCTTACAATACTGTACTCTTCTGGACTAGGTTCTGGTAGGCTTGCACTGTTTCGTTGTTCTGTCACTTCTGCTGGATTATTGCCGAGAAATTGCTTGTTTTTCCCTGTTTCCCTGCTCCTCTCTGTAAAGTGCTTTGGCATCTCTGAGTAAGATTGTGTTTTATAATCATAGCATATTGGATAAAGGCTATTTCCATGGTCTTAGCCTCTGAATGCATTGTGCCTGATCAGTAGTAAAGTGTAAGCCAGTATGACTGAGCAAAGTGAGATGTTATTTAAAATGAATTAATGTTCTCATTTTGTTTCTTCTAGAACACAAGCCTACGTTCCCAAATATTCTGAAGAAGGGATACTTAGAAATTAGAAGAGACAATGACAGCTACTGGCAAACCTGTTACGCTGAGCTCTCCCCATCCAAACTGTACCTGTATTGCCTGGACAGCAGTGGCAACCAGACTCTTCCCACCATGTACCCGCTTGTGCATTTTCAAAGGGTCACTGTTACTGGTAGCATTGAAGCCAAGGTGGTGGAGGTTGTCCTGTCAGACAACTCTCAGCTGCAGCTGAAGGCAGAGTCATCATGGGAAGCTTTGGACTGGGGGCGGAAGCTCTGGGAAGTGATGCGTGCTTCTGTGCCTGCTTTCACAAGACAGCCAGAGCAAGTGGAGAATGTGCCAGAGCCTGACAATAGCAGTGACCATTCTCAAACTAACGGATTGGTAGAGAAGCCCATGGAACTTTTGCTGTCTATGAATTTGACTGAAAATACTAAAGAATACCAAAATATTCTCAAATCAGGGACTCTTTATAGGTTAACTGTCCAAAATAACTGGAAGGCATTTACTTTTGTCTTAAATAGGTCTTATTTAATGGCATTTCAACCTGGTAGGCTTGATGAAGACCCTCTGCTGAGCTACAATGTTGATGTTTGCCTGTCAGTTCAGACAGATACTCAAGATGGCTGTGACTCTTGCTTTCAGGTAATTTTTCCTCAAGATGTCCTTCGCCTGCGTGCAGAGACCCGTCAGAGGGCTCAGGAGTGGATGGAAGCACTGAAAACAGCAGCCAATGCCACTAGAAGTCTAGGTCAGAACCCACAGGTCACGCTTCGAAACAAACCTGGAGATCGACCCTTTGGAAATGATTTCAGGAAGAGCAAGCGCCAGTCTGTGACAACCAGCTTCCTCAGCATCCTGACTACGCTGTCTCTAGAAAGAGGGCTCACAGTTCAGAGCTTCAAGTGTGCAGGTAAGCAACTAGACAGCAGTTTCTGCACCCATTCCTCCTCTGCAGAAACAAACAAAATATCACCTGGAAGAGCTCACATTTGTTTTAGCAGCATTTTAGAGAGCTTTCTGCCTCTCACTACAGTCATGGGCACTTTCTTCTATTAATCTTTCTTTGCTCTCTGTGGAGAAAATGTGGAGAAAAACCTGTAAGATATGCAAGGACTCTCCAGCATTTGATGCACAGTTCTGAAGCATTCGATTGTGCACACATAGCATATGCTACATGAATCAGGGCTTCCTTACTAGGCAGATGAGCTGTTTTCAAAGGACAGTGGACAGTGGTCTAGAATCAAAAGAACCTGAATTCTGGCTACAAGGCTGGTTTCCAACATCAAGGACTTGTGTCTTTTTATTAATAATTCTCCTCAAAGTTGTTTTTGGAACTCACTTTATATTGAGCTTTCTAAGGAGATTCTTTAAAACCATGTGTTATGTTTCCCTGACATACCATTGTTTGGTGACACATGTTCTAGCACTGAGGTTATCTGCTCTTCACTTCCCTTGAAGCAGAGATGAAAACATGACCTTCAGGTTCTGCATCTAATTGTGAATCTTGGTTCATTTGAAATGTGACTCTAGTCCTAGGCAGGAGTGTGATTTTTCATCCTGATTGGGAATGAGGTGAAAATAGAGGGGACCCGTATGAATGCATTTCACTGTTTTTTTACTTCAGTAAAGGCAGCATTGTGGAGCAAATTTGGAACCTTGTGCCAAAACTGTGGTTTGTAGGCTGGCTTTAGTTATGTTCTCTTAAAATTGCCAGCTGCATCAATAGCAGCTTTTCTGTGGGTTTTCGTCATTTGCTGTGGAAGCTGCTAGGAGCTGCATTCCCCCTGGGATGGGGAGCTGTCTGGTTTGAGGGTCTCCTGTTGCTCTAGAACCATATGTGGCTTTCTTGGGCCTGTGCATGGCAGCTGGCTGGCCTGAATCCCTGCCGGAGGAGACCTGAGCCCCCAGAAATACTTGTTGCCTGCAGAGCTGGGTGTAGATGAAGCTGGCTTTCTCTCTCTGTGGTGGTTGCCTACAGATATGCCTCCTGCTCACCTCTCCATGGTGCATGGCACTTTGGTTGCTGGAGTATCATAAAGGTTTGTCTCGTGGCAGTTATTAGTTTGGTCACGTTGTTGGGGTTTCTGCTTGAATTCAGTTCTGTTCTTGGCTATGAACTCTAACTTCATGTCTTGTTTTTCTGGGACTAATTAGGTGCCAAACTCAACTGAAGGTGCCCGAGAACCACAACAGCTCTGATTAACTGCATGTCATTGGGTACCTAAGAATGTAAGCAAACATCTGCCCCCTCTAAAACAGGGGCAGCAGAGATATCTTACCTTTAAGGAAGCTGTGGGAATGACAGCTGTCAGAAGACTCTGGGCATGGTCAAACAGGTATCTCCAAGATGGAGTCGACCTGGCATGGTACCTAGCAGACAGACCTTGTGAAAGTCAAGAAGTCAGAAGAATTAATAGTCTCATTTTAAGATAACATCCCACATTGTATTCAAGCTCTATTCCTTTCTTTGTATTTCTTTTTGTTTCAAGCTTGGTGGAGGAATATCTTCTAATTTTGCTTCATCCTCTGGCTGAGATCCAGGAGAATTTCAAGGTGGTGTTTCCAGCAGGATCAGCTCCTGTAATGGCAACAAAATGTGTGTCTGCAATGCGAGATAGATTTTAGTGTTGCGTTATGTTGTATGGGAAGAGATTCTTGAGTGGGAAGGAATGGATTTCCTCTACCAAACATGGGCCACTTAGTCTGAACTCATTTGTGTTCCCCACAAGTATTCTGACAAATGAGGGCAACAAAGCTGGTGAGGGGTCTGGAACACAGGCCATATGAGGAGAGGCTGAAGGAGCTGGGAATGTTCAGCCTGGAGAAGAGGAGGCTCAGGGGAGACCTCATTGCTCTCTATAACTTCCTGAAGGGAGGCTGTAGTGAGCTGGGAGTCGGCCTCTTCTCTCGTGTCATTAGTGATAGGACCAGGGGGAATGGCTTCAAGCTGCGGCAGGGGAGATTCAGGCTGGACATGAGGAAGTATTACTTTTCAGAAAGGGTGGTCAGGCACTGGAACGGACTGCCCAGGGAGGTGGTGGAGTCACCGTCCCTGGGGGTGTTCAAGGAAAGACTGGATGTTGTGTTGAGGGACATGGTTTAGTAGGAGCTATTGGGAATAGGTGAACGGTTGGACTGGATGATCTTTTAGGTCTTTTCCAACCTTAGTGATTCTATGATTCTATGATTCTATGACAGTGGCAGTGACATTGTGTCTTTTCCTGATACATGTGAGACTTCCCCAGTGCTCCTGTGGCTCCTTTCAGTCTGCAGTCTTGCTCAGAGAAGTTTGAATTGTGAAGAGCCTGTAAGAAGCATTGCTGCCTCCCGGATTTTGGATGATACTCCTGGGACTATCTGTATCCCCCCTCATCCTTGGGTACATAGCATTTACTGTGGGAGCATACCCTTTGCCCTGAGACTCTCCGAGCTGGTTTGTGTAAGTCAGCTGGTACTTCTGGCTGTTAACATAGCACAAAGAAACGAATGATTTTAATTATAATTGAGAGAAACTGAGAAATCTTGTTTGGCTCAGAAAAGTTGTGCTGAGGAGACTTTGGAGACGCTAAGGCTCCCTCCTTATACCTTGCTTCCTGCAGGCAGTTTGTGCTGTTCCCTGCAGCGGGCTGCTGTTTAAAGTGAGGGGCCTGCTGTTGGTAATTACATCTTGCAGGCATTGAGAGCAGTTTTCCCCGGGGCTGCAGGGAGGGGTAAGCTTGGAAAAGGATAAGGAGGGGGAGAAAGAAAAGTTTTGCTGTGAATTCTTCAGCCATTTAGTGCAAATTCCTGTAATTACCGTCTTTGTGTCCTGTCCCAATGGCACATAATACAGCAGAAGCCTTTCCTAATTGAGACCTTACAGGAGGTACAAATCCCTCCTTTGTTCGGCCTGACAAATTAGTGCCAGAAAGTGGCAAGGTCCGAGTGGGAATCAAAGGCAAGCAATACAAAGATGGAACTTAAGGCTACAGTAATAACCCTCTCTAGTCCTGCAGGGGTGGGAGGGAAGGAAAAGTAATGACCAATGAAAAATGAAGGGTTTTTTTTGTGATAAATTCCCTTGACATGACAGCACCTCAGGGCTGCTTTATTTATTTAGGAAAAGTGATTAAATAGTAATACAACAGGGCAGACCATTGTCTCTCAGGCTACCCCCCTTCTTACAGACCCCCGCTGCCTTGGCTAATTGATTGACAATGAACCGCTGATAATGAAGGTTGCTGGGAGGACCTGATGGGGAGAGGTTGTGGTTTTGTGTATTTTTTTTTTTTTTTCCTCCTCGTTGCAGTCTTTGTGAGGTTCCCCTCCCCGTTTTTGGTTTTGTTTTAGGTTTTTTTTTTCATTTTTTTGTTTGTTTGTTTGAATTGCCCTCTGTATCTCCCTTTTCCTGTCTCCTTTAGTAAAGGCTTTTCAAGGGACTGCTTCCACACAAACAGCTGACGTTCACTAGCAGGTAGGGAAGAATGTCTGCACTTCGCTATTGACAAGCTTATCTTGGAGTCTGACTGGCACTTTTCAACTCGTGATATAAGTCAGCACTGTAGTGTCAGATGTAGTCGTGGGGCAGGGGGACAAACTGTTAATACATTGGAGTCAGAAGGTGGAAAAAAAAGTTTGTATCTGCTGAGCAAGAAAAAGAGTCTTTCCCTGGCACTTTTAGCTTTCCGTTGTGGAAGGCAGTTCATCGTTTGAAACTAAGAAATAATGTCCTATCAGGCTGTTGATAATGTGGAGAGGCATGCTTTTATAAACTCTTTTTCCTTTGTTGCCACTGGTTGTATTTCTGACTTTGAATGGCAGTGCATTTAGAAAGCTAAACTAGCTAGAAACTATTGGCGCTAGAATGGCACCCGTCCTTCATATATCCACATAGCTGCAAGTTTGCTCCTGTTGTGTTGCTATTATGTAGGGTGTACCAGTGTTCCCATGGTTAGTGTCAGGGGCTCTGAGCTGGAGTCACATTTCAGGTGAAACCTCTTGTCCTCAAATGAGTATGGAGTGAAAGCTGTTGCACGTGCAAGCTTGTAAACATTAGGGTTTATAATGATTTTTTTTTAATAAAGTGAGTAATGAGACATGCTAAGGTGATCAATTATTTAACTTATTTATTTTACCTGGATTCAAGAGAAATTCTAAACTGTTCATATTACAAATCTGAGGTGGCTTCCATCAGAACGTGCTTTGCAGGTGCAGCATCTTGTCAGTAGCGGTAGCCAGTTGTAGGCACTCCAGTGACAGTCCTTTCTCCCTGTTGGGTTGTCTACGAGCTCCTGGGGAAGGGCAGCTAGCTGTCTGACCTGGAGAACCCCTCTGGAGCTCTGTCAGGAGCAGAATTCCCCAGCAGCCCTTGCCATTTGCTATTCCCTTGTCTTGTGCCTTCACTTTTCTGCAGATTAGGAAGGCAAATAGCCTCCATCCCTGACTCTTGTTTTTTACATGGCTCCTGTCCTTTAAATATTTTTCTTTCTTTTCACTTCTTAAATTTTTTTTTTAATTTTTTTCTCTCCCTATCATCTGCCAGGAGCACTTGTTGCTTTGACAACGAGTCCTAATGGATGTGGGAGTTTCTGCTTTCTGCAAAATGTACTCTACACCCTTTTGTTTCTCTGTGTGGCTTTCCTCACACCTGTTTTGGAGTACCTTTTGTCTTTTCTTCTCTGCTTTCTCTTTGACTTGTCACTTGCAAGAAGAAAAAACATTGCTATTATGGCACTGCTGACTTGGCTGGCTGAACTGATCACTGGGAGCAGAGTAACCAGTGTTAGTAAATGGGCTATTTCCTGAGCCTGTAGCCCTGTCAAATGGAGCAGCAGGTGGAAAGCTGCTGGCTTTCAAGGAGTCAGGCTGCCTCTAGTGCTGTGATCCCGTGTGTAGATGGGGAGAGCCCAACGTAGTGTGCCCAGCTCATGT